GTTGCCATATGATGAGTATTATGATTAAATATATTGCGATTTATTGGGATTTATTACCTTTTTCAACTGTAAATTATGTTCCCAAAGGAAAACGTTCGCAGCATCTGTTTTATCTGATAAGATAAGTTTTCAGTCTGCTCATCTCACCTCAGCCATTATTTTTGCAACAAAATGTATCTAGTGGACTGACAAAGCAATTGATCATATTATTCTAGTAGGCTACCTCAAGTTTACCCCCCCACCCCACACTTGATATCGATATCGCGAAAAGAGATACGTGGGAATACTACGTGTGTAAAGGAAAATAATAGAACAGCTGGTACAGTCTGGTAACTTCAGAAAATTACATGACTTTACCGTAATACCTTTAAAATCAGGAAAAGACAACACGTACAATATCCAAAGGCTAAAACGATAGCTAGTCTCATATCACGACATTGATCTAATATGGATATATGGCCTCGCCCTGATTTGGAGACAGCAAATTTATGACAGAAAGCCTGTGTTACAAACTGATGGTGTGGGGCTTGTAAAACATGGGCAGAGGTCTGATAAAAGACACTGTTGGGTTGCATGATGGGAGTTTTTTGGAGTTTGAGCCATAAAACAAACTAAAAGTCTGACTTTGACTATTCCTTTCCATCTGTTCCCAGCTTTATGGATGAGGAAAAGTAAATTATTGCAGCTACTCTTTAAAAGATACCAAAAAATGTATTTAGGACTAAATTATGTAGCTTATATTGGCCTGTCTGTGGAAGATGTTATCACAGCCATGAGGAAAGGTGCAAAATTAAATACATTAAATGTCTTTCATATTTTATAGAAAAGGAAGAACTCAGCTGGCCAACTAGAGAGGGCGAATTAATTCCGCTATTGCGAAGGCATCAGCGCCTGTATGATCTTGGCACAAACAAATACCCCTGCTAAATACTAAGGGGATTTAAACAACTGCGCTCCAAGATAAACTCGTAGGCTGGACCATGTAAGGCCTTCAAAACAAACAGCGAAATTTTAAACACAATTAACCTCACAGGGAGGCGGCGTAGTGAAACTAAGACCGGTGTGATGTTGTCTGTTTTATTGGAGCCTGACAGAAGCCTGTCCAGAGATTATGGATGAGCCGTAGATGAGAAAAGAAAGGCCTGACTGATCTGAGCACATACGGAATTTTAATAATCAAGGTGTAAGGTGAAAGAGAGAATTTCAGGGACTGACAGAGAAAGGCAGTGGGTGACTTTATATAAAAAACAAACAAAAAAAAAATAATCCAGAGTTGATGAAAACAAGGATCTCGTGTCAAATTCCAGGGTAAAATTAAGAGCTGTGTCTGGGTTCTTTTGCCTGTGGTTTTAAATAGGCAGACAGAAAATGAGTGTTAGAACTTTAGAAGTGGCCTTAAATTGCATAACCACAGTTTTTTACTCTGATATTGCTGTAGAAGGCTGTGAGCCATCCAGCAATTTCCATCAAGTACAATCTTTATATTTTGCATAATTGGTCGGATTATCTGGAAGATAGTTCATCTAAGACTGCCAGAGCACGAGTATTTCTATCGGTTGGTATTAGAACAACAACACTGTCTCAGCATTCTGTGGGCATTGTTGTATTCTTTTTGTGCCTTTGCTTTGGATGTTCTGGTGTGGCTGTTTGTTACTGCAACTTTCTTTTCTTTCCTTACTTCGACCTTTTGTAGGGTTTCGGCGGATATCCACTCCTTGTGTTCGTATTTCTTGTAGCCAACGACTTCCTGTCATGTTGGTGTTATAGTGTCTTTAATAGGTTGCCACTGCTTGTCAATGCTGTTCTCTCATTCTAGTAGATCTCGCAGAACTTCAAATCTGTTGGAGAGTTTCACGCTGTAGTCTTCTTATATTCATTCTTCCCTTAGCAGACTTAGATTGGATTTATTCCTGTTTCCTGTGTGTTCCGTGCTGTTCTTCTTTAGTTTGAGTTTCAGCCTGGCCGTTAGCAGGTGGTGGTCTGATGCGATATCTCACTTTAATTTAAAGATCTATACTTAAAACAGGGTGGTCCATCCTATTTGACATTTCTGCTGTGCTTATTCTTTGTACTGTGTTGCTTTGCTAGCGTCTTTTATAGACAAAATGTACCAGCTAGGAAGTTGCAGTGTATAGCTGTGGACTGCAGCAAAATGTAGCCTATTTTAGCGACCTAAAGCGGCCCACCGGAAAAAAAAAAAAGGTAAAGCAGTGAAAATATTCCAAATATCATGAACATTTAAACTGAAATTGCATTTTTAGTAGCCCTTTTTTAGGTGGCTAAAAACTGCCCAATTCAGGCAGCGTTTTCTCAGCTCTCTTTCATTTTAAGTGTGTGACACAAGGGTTTTCTACCTGAAAGTTACTGTAGACAAACATTGTGATTCTATCTTCCGCCATGTAAGTATTACATCACTGACAAACTATTGATAAGTAATGTGATAGTGTTGAAACTGCACAACACCAGTTCACCCATTAAATTTCCAGTCATTGTACTGCTTCTGTCCAAAAATCAATAAATGCATGACAACAGAAAACAGGCCAGGGGGGTGCTCTGAGGAAGAATTAAGTTTTCAGTTTTCAGAGGATAAATAAGTATGGGTCTCTAACTCAGATTTAGACATTGCTGGCTTTTCTGGGTCATTTGGCAAGGTTATGTTTCTATCATATATATTATTTATCGAGGATATCTGTACATATACTGTATATATGGCCAAGAAGTGATATCAAGGAGCTGACTGAGGGTTAAACATATAAAAAGTTTAAATAAAGCCAAAGCAAAACTGAACTCAAGTAAGACACGATATACCATCGCCTGAAACTGGCCGAGAGTGTCGTGGGATTTGTTGCAGGCTGCAGGCTATTTGTGATTTACTTTTACTTTTTCTGTGTTTACTTCTTCTTTTGAGGAACTTTCACATCGTGTCTGCTCCCGCAGTGACTTGCAGCTGGCGAGGATGCTATTAAACAAACAGACCTCGAATCCCAGTGAATATATAGGTGCTGTTTTATTTTGCAGCACCTTACTCAGTGTGGGAATGTGCAAATTTGATTTCGTATGGAGTGCACTTTTGGCCTCAGTGTGTCACAACTGATGTTTGTGCTTCAGTTGTTCGACAACAACACAGGACTAAGCCCAGGAGACAATGTCAGAGAAAATGGCAAATTAATATGACAATACAGGACTTTATAATGACGAATAAACAATGCCTGAGATAGAGGGACTCATACACGTCACACCAATGTTTTGATTAACGCCTCAACATTCAGTACACAGGGTCAGAGTTCCCCGCCATGTGAGAACAGTGTCACAGCTCCCTCTGGGACGTCTCCTAAAGCTGCTGTAGCCGAAAAAAAAAAAATAGGAGGAAGAGCAAAAGAAAATCCTTGGAACCTCTTTCAAGAAAGAAATAAAATGATAGTGAATCCAGAACTGTGTGTCACAGAGGCAATTAAAGCTGAGCTAAACAGCTCCTCGCAGACTCCACCGGCAGACAGTGTGACTGATCCCCTGTGGTGAAAGCTACATGAGGTCAACTCTCTGCAGGTCTGCCAGTTGGCCAAAAAATACCTCTGTATCGCTGCCACCAGCACCCCTGCTGAGACGGTGTTTAGCACTTGTGGCAATATTGTGATTTGTCATACAGTAGGTCAGTGCCGGCGGCAGATTCAGCAAACAGGCTTGTTTTTCTGGCACGTAATCTTAAAAGTGATGTATGCTTGCCAGGGCCAATTTGCCTTATTTAAAAAGCAAGTTGGAAATGCCAGTTTATTTTTTGCTGGTGTATGTTTATAGGCATAGACGGGGTGTGAAAAAAGGTTACTTGGCTCTGAAGTTTTTGTTTCACCTTCAAGTGCATCATCGAAAAATGGATTCAGACAACCTTATTTTGCTGACAGTTCATGTTTAAAAACTACATTACATAACAGCAGGGTGCGTTATGTTTTATTTTCTGGCATTTAGAGTCCGCAAACTGTGTTTTATATGCTCAGTTATTAAAAAGCTACTTATAACAAAGAGTTTATATTGTTCTTTTATTAGTACTTATAAAAAAGTCCACATTTTGTACTCTCTCATGGTGCAGTTTGTCTAAACCTATAAGGTCACTCAATTTGGAACATATGTGCCCAAAAAGGGAATAATAATCCAAAATAATAAATGAATTAGCATTCTGTTATTAATTGAAAGCCATGTGGCCATGCTGCCACCCCAAATGCCAGATTGCTGCAGGGAAGCCAGACCAAACACCCCGAAGCAGCAGTGCTGAGCGCTGGTAAGAGTGTGAGGCTGGATTATGGCCTGCAGGCACAGGGAGGGCTTCAGATCCCTTTGCCACCTTGTAGGGATTACATGTTTGAATTTGATATGGGCAGCCACAGGCAACCAGAGGAGGGGAGTGTTTGACGGGGCCAACGGAGGAGGATCACAACAAAAATCTATGAGCGCCCCGCATGTTCTCTCGTTTCTTGTGCCTGCGCCTGTCTTGAAATAAAATATTCTTTATTGCTAAAACCTGAAAACCTTCACAAACAATTGCCCTCCTGAGAGTGCTCTAGCGGTTCGATAGTCTGAATACCATTTGGAGCTACATAGGTTTTGTGTCATCACATTTATCTCCCTACTTTATCAAAATATGCTATATAATGTGAGCTGATGTAAGGATAGCCCATCATTCAAGCCCAAAGACCTCACAGCAGCTGTGTTGCACATAACCCCCCCTCCACAGACCGGTTGTAAAATCCTGATTTAGCGTGCAACAATAAAAAACACCAGAGCAATCAGAATCAAGTTATGTGAAAAAAAAACAGAGCAGGACAAGATTAATATCTGCCTTTGAACTTTAGAATAATGCCCATGAGCCTCCAAATCCACTAAATCCAGTGGCCTATGCTCTGCTGTCTAAGGTTATACACTTATCAATAAATGCATTTTTTTAGCCTGACACCCAGTATCATAAGATCTAAATTCTGAAAACACCGAATATAAGCTGGTGCACTCACCAGAGGCTGCAACGGCCGTGCACAGAAGAAGGGCAAACCATGCTACGTGACCCTTCATCTCTGTAAAGTTGAAGTTTGAGGTGCTGGTGGAGTCTGGATCTCTGGGGTGTGAAGATACTTGGGCAGAGGTTGAAGTGTCCTTGTCTCGTGGCAGAGCAGCAGTGACTGTGGCAGCGGAGGCGTAGATGAGTCCAGTCTTTAAAAGGTTGTAAGGTCAAGGAAAAAAAAAAAAAGGAGCTGGGAATCAATGAGGAAATGTGACGGTTGAGAAGGCTGTGACTGTCTCATGCATGTGACTCCTCTCATACTCATACAACAATAAAACGAGCAAATCTATTTCCTGTTGTCCATGGAAAGGTTAGAACACATACTGTAAACTCTCAGATGGTAAGTAACAATACATGTGATCACAAGCAGCCTATTGATGACTGAACATTAACATTAAAAGTGCCCTATGATATCTGATTAAATGCTGGTTCTATGCAACAACACAAAGGGTGTGGGGTCATTTAGATATTCAACAGTGTCAGTGAGGACAAAGTTGCTTACATGTCTTAAATTCCTTCACTAGGATGACAGGATTTTCCCCCCCTGAGACAATCCCACAATATTTCTGCCCGCCTTCCTGGTGCACAATGAGGGTCTGGACCCAAGGGTTATCTGCTGGTCACTAACTTCTGGCCCACTGTTTTCAGGAAGCACTACGGCATCGCTTTCTTTAAATAATATCACAATGCCGAGATCAGATAAGAAGGAGACTGCTCTTGTTATATGATTCATATAGAGGGAAAGGAAGAGCCTGTGTAAACTGTTTATGTGTTTCCAAAGGGGAAACTGTCACGTTATTTCCCTGCTCTTCTTACTGCAGGAGAAAAATGTGTTTCACTGTGAAAATATACTTTACAATTGAATAAAATAGGAATTAAACTGGTGAAACAAGCATTTGAGTGCACTAAGAAATACGTATAAATTAATAATGATATAATTAATTAGGCAAAATAGTACATGAAACTCATTAAATACGTATTTCTCCTTGTTTTAATAGGCTGTTAAGCAGTTTCTGCTGTTATATGATCTTTGCATCGGTTAATCATTTCATAACACACATAAGCCGGACCGGTCGAGGGTTAAGGAAAGAGTTAGTGCCCTCTGTCAGGGAAATAAAATAGACCACACATCCCAGTGGAAAAACCATAGTGAGAACAAAGTTATAAATCACAAAACTTACTTTTTAGGTAGGGTGGCTGACTCGAATAAAGTAGGCTTTATAATCCAGGGGCGAGGATGTGGCCGCATTCAGCGATGTAACGATGTCAGGACTTCCCAAACTTTGTGTGCAGCCTGGGCGGCGCACAGTTACTTTTGTACCCCTCCCACCGGCCCTTTGCTTTTTTTCCCTTTTCCCTGTAAGCGCTGCCCCTGTCCAAGCATTGTCTTATCTGGTCAGCACAGGCCATTCAAACATGTGGAAATCTCAGCTCAGTTAATGTAGCAATTTTTTTTCGCATTTATAAATACTATTTACCGCCGCCTGCCAAAAAAAGCTTTTATAGTGCATTTTAAGTTCATTTAAAGGGACAGTTCACTTCCAAATCAAAAACACATATTTCCCCCCTTACCTGTAGTGCTATTTATCAGTTTAGATTGTTTTGCTGTGAGCTGCAGAATATTGGAGATATCAGCCGGAGAAATGTCTGCTATTCTTCAAATAAATGGAACTAGATGGCACTCAGCTTGTGGTGCTCAAAGCGCCGAAAAAATACATTTGAAAAACTCAACAGCAGTGTCTCTTTCCAGAAATCATGTCCCGGTTACCAGTGTTGGAGGTAAAGGCCTTTTTTTTTTGTCCAACATTGTAGCACGTGTAAAAGTAAGACCTCACGTTGTGTCAATCATGATTGCCCACTGACTCAAAAACTTTTGTCCATCATTAAAATTTTCTCTGCATTTTTCACATCGGTCAGAAGCCTTTAAAGAGCTGTTTGACCAAGAATCAGAAAAAAAAATGTGGCGATGGGACACATCCGTGACAAGACAGAGGAACACTGCACCTCAGCTAAATAAAAAAAAGGCATGGTAACAGTAGACGTTCTCTAGCCAATAGATTGCTATTGGATTTATAGATACTGGTAAGAGTCAACAACCAAATAGGGGGGAGCACTTTTGTTTGTTTTGTTTTGTGTTTCTCCTAATTATCTGTTGGGGCTGTGAATAATAAATAATATAAACTTAGTAGACATGGATTGAATTGTATGGACTAGGGTGGGCAGGGGTTTGGATGGTATATAAATGTTTGTAATTAGTCACCATTGTTTTTTCTGATATATTTGTTATCTTGTTGTGTATAAGTGTTTTGGTTTTGTTTTCCTGTATTTGTGCTTTCTTTATACATTTTGTTTAGTGGGTTATTCATTTTATATCTCAGTTATTTGTCACAGTAGTATCTCACATGCTGGAAAAAATAAAGTTAATTTAAAAAAGACAGAGGAACGGGGCGCAGAGAATCATTTCATAACTAAGATAGCTCACAATCAGCAGATCAGATATTAATATTCAGATGGATGATGAAGATGAGGAGGACCACATACAGAATGTGGACACAGAGAGCAAGGGTAGCTCCACCCCTTCATGCAGCTGTAGTGCCAAATACCAGACACAGAGAAGGAGTGGTGACAGATAGATAGGTAACTCCAGTGGAGAGAGGCAAAGAAGGAAATGTGTCTTTTTATTTTGTCACGTATTGCAAATTTCTGCATTGAATTGAACAATAAAACACATTGGAATCAGTGTGCAAGGTTCCTGTGTAACATTTTTTCACAGATGACAGATTACAAAAAACATTTTTTGATTTTGATATTAACTTTTCCTTTAAGCCATACTTACACATACTGGGAAAAATACTTATTTGCATTCTTGCTGAGAGTTAGATGAGAGGATTGATACCACTCCAGACATGAAAAAAAAAAAATCTTTTTTTTTTTTTTTTCTTAACTACCTCTTGGCAAGAAAGCATATTTCCTAAAATGTCAAACTGTTCCTTTAAACAGATAATAATGCATGTTCTCATTATAGACAGTATTCAATATCCTCAGGACTTGGTTCATTTTTAAAAAAAAGGAAACAAATGTAACACATTCAATATTACAACTCAAACTGACCCACAGAATGTTGTTAGCTGTAAGTAATATTAATTTATCTTGGTTTCCCCAAATACATTGTCCTGTGGAAAATTGTTGTTTTTTTCCAAAGTGGTGCAACATTAGGATTTTTAGACAAAGGCTGGAAACAATAACTAGAGTTTTACCACAAAGGACATGACTTTTGAGGAAACAATTTGTGAGTCACAACAGTTTAATTTGGCATCAACCTGTTTCCAACACAACATCAGTCACCTATATTAGTTATATCCTAACATTGTTGTCACAAATGTTGGATTCCTGTGAGGAAATGCCAGAATTGTACATGTAAATTACAATACTGTTGTAGTTGGGCTATAGTTAACACAGAAAAACAAAAACAAACAGTACTCACAGTGAGAGAATTTTCACAGATAAAAATAGGCCTACATTTCACAGACCTGTTTCAGTTATATTCTTTAAAAGTGTTAAACCTCTTGGATTTTACAATGATACGTTAAGAACAGCGCATTTGAGTATACAACAATAAATTAATCTAGAATCATAAACATGGCTTTTATTATAGATCCTTCAAGCTCACACAGGTGTTTCCAAGCGTTCAGATTTATGCTGTCTCATGCACTGTTCATACGTATACCTGTAAGAAGTAATGCATGTACATAACCCATGTAATCATGGGCCAGTTATTCGTACATTACCCACGTAATCAGAAAGGCTGAGAGTAAGCAATCAATGCACTGATGGGATTGAAGAAGGAAGTAGTGTAAAGAGCATAAGTCCATGTAATGAGGCAGTTTGAGTTGGTGCATAGGCTACTGTTGGTCAGAGCATAAGACTTTCCCCCAGGAGACTGGTCAACCCTGTCTCACTCTGAAGTGGTCAAAAACCACCACTTGGTCAGTGACATCCGGCATCAGACACAGACAAAAAACAGTCACCATTATTGTTTAACAGACAACAACAAAAGTTAAGGAGGCGGAAGTTCGAGAAGGGTGAGTGGGAGGGGTGGTTGTTGGATGGGTCCAACAACCACAGACTTTCACCCAGGAGGCCAGTGTCCGTGTCCCGTAAGATTGTTAAAACCAAAAACTGTTCTTTCTTCCTACATCCAGCCATATGCTTTTGTTGTCAAAACGTAACCATGTGCATTTGCTGTTGAAGAAAAAAGAAAAACCTGCATGTAAACTGCAAATTTCCTGTGAAAATGTAAGCCTATCTTGAAAACAGACAATGCATGTAACAGGCAGAACTTGACACGGTGTCCCAGAATGTCAACAACCAATGCACCCAGGCTACGTTGCACGTTGTATCTTGATGTTGAAAGTCCATGACCTAACGTCGATATGTGGCGAGGTCAGAGTGAGAATGTGCTGGACCGGTGTTTGTGTCTCGAGTGAAACCAAGTGAACTTTGAGTTATTTTAAGGTATGTCATCACCATGTTTCTTTGCCTAAACCAAGCCCACATAACTTTACTTGTCTATACATAGTCTACGAATCTTGACCCAACCTATGTAATGTATCTAAATAAGTAACGTGACAACAGTATTTGTGAGGCACCAATTGATTAGATATCATGTGAACTGTTGTATGAGGATATGTTGTGTGATTAGAGCTCTGCCTAGGTTGAAGGTGGGTAGAGTTACCCAGGGAACACAAAAGTCAGGTAGCGCTAATGCAACTTAACATTGCTTGGTCATCACCACAAAAGAATTTTAGGCAAACAGTTGGACTTCATGATCAGCATGGGGTTGGGTGGCAGGAGCTAAATGAAGGAGGAAGAAACAAGAGTAATGGATCGAAAACTTTGAATTTAGAATTGGTGGGACCTCAGGGAAGAGAAAGAAAATAAGTGGATTCATAGTCAGAGGGAATGGGAGAAAGAAACGTACATGGTGGGAATGAAGATTCGGGGTTTGAAAGAAGAGGGTGTGAAAAGCACATTATAGCAAGATGGATTGAGAAGGAAGAGGGAGAAGTTAAATTCAATGATATAAAACAATCTGGCTTTATAGTCGTCAAGGGCATGTTAAAGAGTCAGATGGATAAAGTCTTGAGAGTCACACTTCTGGAGGGTGGGATGGATATGTACCTAGTGGTTTTCCACTTAGCACAAAAGCTCCAATAAAAGGTGTCGTTGATGGAGTCTGAAGCAGAGTGGATGCAAGGAGATTTAAGGAGTCTAAAGGGGTGACAAACAGCTTTAGAATTAAATGGTTTGACAATATAACTAATGAAAAGTTTGAGACTGAGTCTGCTATGCTTCACTTAGATTTGGAGTACTTGCCCGATAGTGTTTTTGGACCACGTGTCATACCCAGAAAGGCAAAATGTTCCCAGACAGCTACAGTGTAACAATTGTTGGAAGTTTGAGCATAGTCTGTTTGTGTGTGGGAGTGATTTTGCCCAATGTGGTAAATGTGGGAAGAATGAATTTGAAGGAGACTGTGAGAAAGAACCAGAGTGTCTACACTGCAAAGGGAATCATCCAATCAGCATGGGACGCTAACTGTCTAAAGAGAGTAAGGGAGACAGAAATAATCAGGGCTAGATCTAATAAAAGACATAAGCATGAGGAAGTAGGTAAGACAAGGTATGGTGTGAGACAGGAAGGAGACAAATCAGACAGGAAGCACAAGGAATTGTGTTTTTTGAAAGGATCAGGTGAAGTTTTTGGCCTTTTTGGCAATAGTAATTAACTGTACTGCTGGAGCAGAAAGGGAATCTGAGGACATTGACATAATTATAAGTGCAGCAAGAGATTTCTGGGTGTTGTGGAAGTTTCCAGAGAGGTTGAGCAGCAGCACCTGAAAAAAGCTTTTAGGCTCTCTCAAACGCCTAGAAAATAATTTATCTAATATAGCAGTAAGAATGGGTAGAAAGGTGTTATCATTGTTTTATGTAGTGAGTGGAGAATGCAGGTTAAATCCAGTAGATGGTGGAAATGCAATATTTTGGATGCTAATTGCCATTAAAAACAAAAGAAGAAGAAGAAGAAGAAGAAGAAGAAGAAGAAGAAGAAGAAGAAGAAGAAGAAATAATCTCGGGCATGTTCCAAATCACATACAATTTCTTTATACTTTTAGTAGGTACTGCAACTGCCCTTGAAAAGTATGCACTGTTGCATGCAGTATGCACACAACTGGGACATACTACATTCGCGTAACATTACGCGCCGAACTTTGAC